CCTCCTCCCTCCCTGCCTCCCTCCTCATCCCTCCTTCCCCATGCCTCCCCTCTCCTCCTCCTTCCTCGTGCTCCTCCTCCTTACTCCAGCTCCTGCTTCTCCTCATCCTCCTGATCTTTCTCCTCCTCCTGATCATCCTCATATTATGATTATTCGTATTGGTATTATTAGTGATATTTGTGTTAACATTATTAATAATATTATTCTTATCATCATCCTCATCATCATCATCAGCAGCAGCATCATCAGCGTCATCATCATCATCATCAGCAGCAGCATCATCAGCAGCAGCATCATCAGCGTCATCATCATCATCAGCATCATCATCATCATCATCATCAGCAGCAGCATCAGCAGCATCATCAGTATTAGTATTGCTAGTATGATTACTAATATTGGTAATAGTACGAATAGTAAAAATCATGTTATTCGTTGTAGTGTAAGTATTATTAGTCGTAGTAGCATTGTTATTAGTAGTGCTACTAGTATTACTATTACTATTAGTAATACTGTTACTAAGTATGTTACGAGTATTAATACGATTATTCGCAGTATCATTATTAGCACTATGTGTAATATTAGCATTAGTTGTATTAGTATTACGATTTGCATTTGCATCATGATTATTCGTATGATTATTCTTACTGTTATTAATATTACTGCTATGAGTAGTAGTAGTAGTAGTAGTAGTAGTAGTAGTAGTAGTAGTAGTAGTAGTAGTAGTAGTAGTCGTAGTAGTCGTAGTAGTAGTAGTAGTAATATGAAAAATATGATTAGTATTGTTCTCCATGCTCAACATCATCAGCATTATCATCAGCAGCAGCAGCAGTAGCATCATCATCCCCATCATCATCACCATCACCATCACCATCACCATCATCACCATCACCATCACCATCACCACCACCAGCACCATCATTTACAATCATCATCCTCATCATAATCATCATCATAATCATAATCATCAGCATCATCATCATCATCATCATCATCATCATCATCATCATCATCATCGTCATCATCATCATCATCATCATCGTCGTCATCATCATCATCACCACCATCACCACCACCACCACCACCCCTCCCTCCCTCCCTCCCTCCCTCCCTCCCTCCCAACCCTCACTCCCGCCCTCCTTCCCACCCCTCCTCCTTCTCTCTCCCTCCCTCCCTGCTCGGCAGCGAGGCGCCAACCGGAGCGCGCCCTGGTCCTTGCCGCCGGCGCCGGCGGACACCATCTTGGCGATGAGGCCCGGGGCCCTGACCTTGTGCGACGGCGGCTGGGCTGGAGGATCGGCGGGGGTGAGGAAGGAGGAAGAGGAGAAGAAGGAGAAGGAGGAGGAGGACGAGGAGGAGGACGAGGAGGAGAGGGGGAGAAGGAGGAGGAAGAGAGGAGAGGGAGAGAAGGAGGAGGAGGAGGACAAGGACGAGGAGGAGGAGAGGAGGAAAGGGAGGAGGAGGAGGAGGAGGAGGAGGAGGAGGAGGAAAGGGAGGGGGAGGAGGATACAGGATGGGGAGAGGAGGATAGAAGCAATGCGACGTCGTCCCCCCGTCGCGTCCCTCGGCCGAGCGCACTGCGTGGGAGTGGCCGCGCACGCATGCCGCCGCCGCCGCCTGGCCACACCGCGGCCTCAGTCTTCCTAGACCGCGCGCCAGGATGGTCCGCAGCGATGGGGACAGAACGGAGGAGGATATGCAGCCAAGCCTCCCAGATGGGGTTCGAGTGGGTCAGAACGCACCCTGGGAGAGGTTTGGGGGAGGAAGAAAAAACGGCGTGAAGAGAAACCTTCGCAAGTCCGAGCGAGCCTCTCGGATCTGCGCTGGACGCCCCCGGCGGTGCCTCTGGCGCCGCCCCCAGGCGCGCTCCGCGCGCCAGTGAGGGGGGTCCGGCGCGGCTCCAAGAAATCCGCGCGGGCCGTCGGAAGCTTATGTCTGCCTCGCCTGCATTCTTCGCGAGGGGCAGGAGGAGAAGAAGGAGCTGGTCTGGTCTGGGCCCGTGTGAGCAGGAGGAGGAGGAGGATGGGAGAAGGACCGTGTGAGGAGGAGGAGGAGGAGGAGGAGGAGGAGGCCCGTGCGAGCGGGCCCGATCGAGCCAGGACTCACGGCAAGCGGTCCACGGAGCGGGGAAGCCCCGACCACTCTCCCAGGAGGTATTAGCCCTCCGTCGGCGGCGAGAGGAGGGGCGGGCCTCCTCGGCAGGCTCGGAAGCCCCGCGGCCTTCCGAGAAGTGCTCGGAACCTGCCCCGGAGACACGGCAAGCCTCGCAGGGGGCCAGAGGGCTTCTGGGAAGTCCCGCCGCCCATTCTCGCTTCCCCCCCTCGCTCGCCGCAGACGCGGGACAGGCGCGAGAGAACGCTGGCGCCAGCTCTCGCGCGCACCCGAGGCGGGCACACACGTCGCCGAGGAGCTTGACTGCAGAGACTGTGTCGTCAACGAAGGATGGGAGGCGGAACGAGGAGGAGGGAGGACGAAGGAGGACGAAGGAGGACGAAGGAGGACG